TTATTATTAGTAGTAGTAGTAGTAGTAGTTGTTGTAGTAACAATATAGTTTAGAGAACAAAACACAATGTGCAGTTCTACTCCTTGATCTAACGGAGCTCTCTGCTTTCGGTTTTGACCATGGCAGCTGCCTGTATTTTCAGAATTATCTCTCTGACAGGTCCTAGTGTGTCAGGTTTGGTAATTATTAGTCCTTTTTTCTCCCCATTACAAAGGGAACTCCTCGGGGTTCCTCCACATTATGCATGTGTAATTTCCATTTTTACGCAGACAACACTGTCCTTTATTCTTGTGCAGACTCTTTTTATGAAGCCACTCTATTATACAGCTATCATTTAACTTCCATCAAAGACACTTCCATAATCTGAAACTGGTCCTAAACTGCAGAAAGACAAAATGGATTTTGTTTTCAAATGCAAGAAATATTGACTACAGTAGTTCTGAAATGAGTTCTGCTAATAATACCATTATAGAGAAGAATGAACGAGAGGAATGTTGGTAGCCACTGTACCCACTCACAGACATAGCTCAAACTGCAGGTGCCAAAAATTTGTACAGAACTAGGAAAATCTACCTTTTCTCACTGTGCCCCACATACTTGGAATATGCTTCAACAAAACTTTAAGATGACTTCATTAACAGCACTGAGAGAATTTCAAGGTTAAATTGCTAACCATTTGACTATAACTGTCATGTTTTTAGATCTTGCTTGTTTATTTGGCTTTACATTGAAAAAATTGGGCTGTACACGAATCAGATTTGGCTGTTTAATAAAAATATTCGATGATTCAGTTTTTTTTTTTCCGGGGCTCAGCAGGGCATTCAGTCAAACAGTGGCATGTTATATAATTAACTAATGATGCTAACGACAGATCAGATGTATGCAACAACATTTTTTGACTACGTTAGATAACAGACAAAAGCCAGAGACTGTGTCTATTAAGTATCTGTGAGCTTCACTGAATACAAGCAGAAGAGAGGAGAAAGTGTGATCTCAAACCCTTACGGTGGGCCACTGCATCACGTCTGAAGCTATCAAAGAGCAGTGTGATAGTCAGGAGCGCTCACTCTGCAGCAAAATTGTGTGACTAAAGCCATGTATTCTTCTTGTATTGCTATTTGTTTAAAGATGTGTTTGATGTATGTACCTCGGCACCATTAAAAATGAAGGTTCTCACTCAATGTGTTTTCCGAGGCCTTGAATAAAATAAATGATGATGATGATTAAAATAATAATGTGATTCATGAAGAAATCCAAAAACAGAAGCAATTTTTTCTCCATGTTGGTTGCTGTGTACATTTTAAAGGGCCTGAATTTAAAAAAAACAGGTCTAAAAGAAAATATTGAGTTTCTGTCTTCATCTGTGATAGACCAGGGGCATGAATGTAAAGTGCCACAAGACAAATGTTTTCTATTTCTCCTGAAAAGCAGAGCGGGAGCGATTTATCACACCTGGAGGCAGACTCAATCAAATGAGGAAAATAAGGCAGACCATTCCCATGCTACCAGGTTATGCATTATACATGGTTGCAGGAGGTTTATAACACCTCAAATGACACCTCCCTGTGGATCATGTAAGATTGCCTTACTGTCCGGGGAGAAGTACTACGGCTTCTTAAGGTGTTGCTGTGTGCTTAACAGAGGCTGACAGCTCACACAGCAAGCTTTCACTCTGGACGTAATCGCTCACGACAACCAGCACAACAGTATCACCTTGACCAGACCTCCACTATTCTGCCCATCCTTTGTCAGAAATTGTGGTAGCATGCAGAACACTTTTGACACTCACATTCTGGCCAATCACTGCCCCTTCTGATTCTCTACAGAGAACTCAATGGTGGGGGAATTTGAGCCGAAAAGAGGTCTAATTCTGCAGAAGCTGCCAGTCTTTCCAGTGATTTGCATAAATCTCCATGGGGAGAGGGCAGTGATTTAAGCAGGCTTGTCTGAAGGCAGAAGGAGGTGCAGACGTAGAGATTGGTGTAAGACGTGATTGCCTCTGGGCCCATGTTGTGCGGATGAAGCTCTCCGGAGGCAGAGGGTGACGCTCTGCATTAATCTGCCAATATCAGCCCGCTGAATATAAGGCATCCACTTCTCATTAAGGGCCAACGCATCCATCGCAACTCCAAATCTAGATGTATTGCAGCCCAAACTGAAAGCACAATCCTCATTCCCTGTCAGACAGAAACGCTGCATGCATCTCTGCGAGCAAAATATACGATTTTCCTGCGTGACTACCCAATATCCAGTGATATGAGCACAATTTCAGCTTGTCGCTGCTTGCCTCCCCAAACAACAAACACACAGCTTGGTTTTTACATTTTGATGTGGTGGGAATTAAAAGGCTTTGATATTTCAATTTCCATAAATTGTGCAGGGAATATACAGCACAGAGCTGTTTGAAGGCAGAAGAATAGGATCATGGACATGGGTGTTTGGAATTACAAAGAAATAATGCACACAAGAGACATCAAACAGGCGTTTTCAGATCCATCACAGACAACCTGATATAATGAATTAAGAAAATCCTCAAGGAGGTGCTGTGCTGTTTGCATGAGTGCATTTGAATACACCTTCATTATCGAGGTGAGGCTATGTGATGGCAGGTTAATGTTCACAGAGGGTTGTAGAATATGAATGCACCATACGAGAATCTGTACATGACATTGTGACACTCACACTGTGATATGACTAGTGCATAATGGTTTATTGTAAAATATTTAATGTTAATGCTGTGAGTGATGTAATGAAACTGTCACTTTGTATTTTACAAATGGACGTTTCTCACAGTTTGCCTTGACTACTGAAATATTACCACCATTATTCGTCATCTGTTATGGGCTTTTTATGCGTTCAAAGCTATAGTTAGTAACTTTTGCAAAAAATAACTTTCGTCATATTTGTTGAAACTGTCACTATATTCACACAGCACTAAATAAGACAGATAATCTTGGAAAAACATCATATTCCTTGGCTGACTCTATCGCCTTGTAGCACTTCTAATGGCCTGACCTTATGTGAACGAAAAACAATCAATCACAGCTGAGGAGTCTCAAATGCAGCTCTCAATCATGTCAATCACTGCTCGTGAACTGTGGTCAAACTGTCAAACTAGGCAGCGCTCATTAAATATAAATCAAGATTCTGTTACTGACTTCTCCTCTCAAATGTTTTCAGAAACATGTTTTCGTGTACTCTTTAGCTGTAAAATTAGAAAGTTGGTCCGGCTGATGAGCAGTGCTTGGTAGTTGGGTTGACAGTGTCCAACATGGCGGCAAGGTCACAAACTTTCTCATTTTACAGCTAAACAGTACACTAAAATATGTTTCTGAAAACATTTGCCAGTTACACAATCTTGATTCATATTTCATCAGCGCTGCCTAGTTTGACAGTTTGACCGTAGTTTACAAACAGTGACTGACATGATTGACAGCTGCTTAAGAGACTCTTGGGCTCTGATTGGCTGGTTTTGGTGTGCTGCTGTAGATTCTGGCAAATGCCATTAGAGGCTGTAGAAAGAGGAGGATGTTTTTCACAGACTATCTGTCTTGTGTACTTCTTTCAGGATGTAGAGACAGTTTCAGCAAATATGACAAAAAGTTATTTTTGTAAAAGTTACCCACTGAAGCTTTAAACCTGAATTAATTTACTTTTTGGCCACTGGGGTGCAACACAACAAGCTGTACCTCACTGACATATCATCTATCACCTTATTAAGTCGATGTGGTGAGCAAACACTTGCTATTAAAACATGCAGCAGAGACACAGTGCTACATTATTGGTCATTTGGAGATGTTTCTGGCCATCTGATGAATATAAGCCCAATGTCCACTCTGCTTTAGCTCTGTTTTGTTCTTCAACAGCTCCACTTCTTCTCTGCTAAATGCTCCACTATATTGTGTCATTCAGTGCTAAACAGGCAGTATACACAACTTTGCGAATCCAAGGACAGTGAAGGTGACCTGCCCTACTCTCGCTATGATTAGAAGCGGCCATCCCATCACCATCCTAGAAAATTCACGTAGTGTATAAAGCAACTTTAACTTAACCAGTTTAAGCAGACATTATTTGCATTCACAGCAAGAAAGGCAGCAAGATGCTACCCAAAGCAATGGGACTTAATAGCAGCTTATAGCAAGTCGAGTCAAACATCTGCATACACGACTAAAAATATGACATTGAATGAATAAACTTGCTGTTTCTGAGTGTGCCTACTCGTCAGTGTTTGTGTGTTTTGTCCACTTGTGTCCCTCACCTCCTGTTTGGGGATGCTGACATAGCCTAGGTGAGGCTTGAAGGCCTTGTACGGCTGCTTGGAGAACATCCAGTGGCTGCTGAACGTCTGTCCGAACACTGGCTGCAGGAGGAAGTAGGGCTTCTCCGAGTAGTTCACCACGACCACGAAGAGCGACACCGCCACAATCAGACTGGTGGCGATCAACGACTTCCTCTGTAGAGAGAAAGGGAGTGAGCTCATGACAAGTCTGATAAATGCAGCAATGTTGTTCTAAAATTGAACGTTTAATCAAAATTATTTATTGGCAGTAGTTTAATAGCTTGAATTAAAGAGTAAATAAAAAAGTAGAGGCTTTCCAGCTCCATCATAAATCTGCGAGCGGTCACATCAGATAAATACATAACACTGAATATACAATGAGGAGGCAAATATAGTGTATATGAATAAAAAATACTGTATAATAACAATAAATATATCCTATTACAGTAAAATATATACAATATAACAACCAGGCAAGAAAAAGGATGATTGAGGAGCATTGTTGCATACGTGGTACATAATATATAATAATGCTAAAATATAACGCTCATTTTGCACATAACTGTCATTAGATTTGTTCCTAAATGTATCATACATACAGCATTACACTGTGCTTTTGGGCTTCAAGGAAATATCAACTTGCATCTTTAACTTTTAGCACTGCAGAGCCAAAAGAAGGGAGCAACTTCATCTGACAGTGATGCAAGTCTTTCAGTAAAATTCAACATACCGTAAAACTGTAAAACCAGACACTTGATTTGATTTGATTCTTTTAACTTCGCAATACATCCAAAAGTTTATACATCTCTAACTGAAGTATTTCAGTTTCAATCCTCATCACCAAACTGCAGAAATAACTGAGATTTTTGTACAGTTTCTCTTTGTATTGTAGGAAAAGTGGAAGCAGTCTCCTATCAGCTCCAGATTATGATGCTATAATCTATGGACATGCTGCTGCTTCTACGTTCAAATCCCCAGACTCAGTTTATCATTCTGTCCTCAGATTCATTAACGGAGATCCCTATGACACATACCATTGCATCCTGCTGCATAACAAAGATGGCTGGTCCTCTCTGGCACAAAGGCGTGATAAACACTTGTTTCTCTTCATAAAATAATTCCCCTATTGGACATGATGAAAATGTCCTGTGCCAATCAGGTCAACCTCTGTGACTTAACATTAAGTGTGTAACTTTACGTTAAGTACATAGCGTCATTCATGGGGCACTAATTCACAGGCTATGCTGCTTTAATGTATCAACTCTCCATCAGAGAATCATCTGCATGTGTCACATACACTTTCAAGAATGAGCTGAATTTTTTTTTTAAATTTTAGAATTAGGCAATTTATTAGTTTATCATTCTGAAATAGAGCAAACCAACAGGCACGCAGCAGCATGTAACTGATCAGTTTTAGCTGCACAAATGCACACTGAGTGGTCAAATCTCTCACCATGGCGATGAGAAGCTGTTTGACTGACATATGCAGACTAGTTTGTGTTTAGGTATAAATGTACAGACATAAAGGTAAGAATATATGTTAACTGCGTCAGCATGAAGTATGTTAGTGTGAAAAAGAACATCCTCCTGAGTAAAATCCCTTACAGATAAATAAAGACTCATAAAAGTGCATCTTCCCTGAGTCACTTTGATATGGTCTGACCAACAAAACAAAAAGAAAAGAGCTCTCTTACACTAAGAACACATTTCTCAAGTAGTGAGGCGGCTTAATAACATATAAAGGAAAATAAGTGTTACATTCAATCATTATGTTTTTGATTCAACACAGATGACTCACAGTAACCTCTTCCCATCACTTCATACTTACTGAGTATGAAAAGATCTCTATGAAGTACTCATTCGTCTTCCAAGATAGTCAATTTGCGAAGATTAACACTTAATATCTACTAAATGCCACATCATTTCTACTTTTCTTACTCCTTCTAATGTGACTGGCAAACCATAACTGAGAATAGCTGAGATGGGAAGTAGTTATCACTTTTTCAGCCATGTCGGTCCACCACCTTGATCCACACTAAAATATCTTGACATTTTTTCTTTAAAATTTTTATGTTACCTTGATGAGTCTATTGAGAATCAATTCTTATTTATAATGATGACCTTGCCAAGAGGCAGTGACCGGAGGCAAGTTGATATAAGGCTTTAAAGATCCAGTGTGTGGGATTTAGTTGGATATACTGGCAGGAATAGTGTATATATCTGTATATATATAAGTTGTCATTATTTAAGTGTTTTTGTACCCTTAGAATGAGCTGTCTATATCTATATATGGAGCATGACTTTGTGTTTTCAAGGATAGTGAAGGCATGACCCAACCTACTGTCCTTGTGACTGGTGAATACTGATTGCCTTTGTTGGTTAGGTTTAGACAAGAGGAGCGAGATTGGATAGGGTTAGGTTAAGAATGTCGAGGTAAGTCAATCAGGGGCAGAGTAAGGCAGACTATTGCAGGTCTTTTCTACGCTATCCTATAAAATGCAAATTTGCGTACGGAGCGGGTCCTGTTTCATGGAGTCCACCACGTTGTTTCTAAAGTAGCCCTGAATGGACAAACCAAACTCTGGCTCTAAATAGGGTCATTTATGTTTTTGCATCACCATCCTAGAAGTTTCAGTTCTGCAGCCTCACCACTAAATGCCATTAAATCGTAAACACTAGACCTTTAAAACATAGACAAAGCTAAGTAATAAAAACAACATAAGGCGAAATGAAGACATCACAACATATACAACAACAGAGGTCTATATACTGTGTACCAGAGAAGCAAATTCCAAAACAGGTGCAAACTATCTCTTGTAATGAGTTATTAAAAGACGGTAACGCAATGAAGGTGTTGAATTGAAGCATTTCTTGCAACTCGTTCCAGTCGCTCAGAGCAGCAAACTGGAATGAGTGACAGCCCAAGAAGGTGTGGCCTTACAGAATTACCATACATGAATTTATTACTATTGGATTGATTGCCATGAAATCTTCGTACAGACAAATCCCAGGCAAATCAGGCAAATCCCACTGTCTTTGGTGATTCTCTGACTTTTCATATAGTGCCACCAGCAGGTCAACATTTGTGATTCAAAGTGAAATATCTTGAGAACTAAAGGATGGCTTGCCATGAATATTTGCTACAGATATTCATGGTCCCAAGAGAATAAAGTCAGCTGACTTGAGATCCACTGACCGGTCAAGGTTTGTTACTTATTCATCTAAATGTCTCAACACCTCCTTCATGGATTAGCTCAAATAATACAGACATTTATGGTTCCTAGATAATTTAGTCTAACTTTTTTATTTAGCACCATCATAAGGTCATTTTTTAAATGACTTCACTGATTTGGTTTCTGGGCAAATACTTGCAAAACTAATGACATTCCTATTAACATCAGCTGTACTTAATTTTTATGCATATTAAGAGATGGTGAACATGGTTAACTCTATACCTGCTAAACATCAGCATGTTAGCACTGACACTGTCAGCTTGTTACCATGCTGATGTTAGCATTTGGTTCAAAGTACAGCCTCACAGAGCCACTAGAATGGCTGTAGGTTATTTGTCTTGTTTTATCAGTCAGAGGATTAGAGTGTGACTTAGAGACTGTGCACAAACATTGCAATCTTTGTTCCTATTACAGCATGGCTCCCAAGAAAGCAACAGCTGGGCATCATTGTTTCATACATTGCAAAACAGCAAAAGGCTGGTCTGGAGGTAAGAGGTATTATGGCTTGGCAGAAAGAGCTGAGAGTGATGAATAATGGATAAGAGATGGAGGACGAGGAAAGGTCTCAAAGAGGAGAAGCTATTGGCAGGGCAGAGCTGGAGATCAATGCACAGCAAAGAGAAAGAATCAGACAAAGATGAAAAAAATCTGCGGTGTACTACGACATCTCGGAGCCTGAGGTGATGATAGATTTCGGCAGAGTCAGAGACTTTTTTTATTTCTTTCTTTCCAGGAAGCTTCAATAACGTGCTGCTAATCTAACAGACAACACCGGTGGGAAACTCTGGATTTTTAGGAAGGTGGTGTTTTGCAGATCCTTTGAAGTTATCTGATGGTGAGAAGATTGGATGTAGCGTGCTGTAATGGTGAAGCCCCCACAGCCAAAGTGCCTGCACCACCACGCGCTCTGATCTGCAACATCAAACATCCCAAGGGAGGCGCCGGAGGCTTCGCTGCTCAGAGACGAGATCAAACATGTGAGGGTAGGGGTGTGTGGATGAAAAAAATGGTGACCATTTGCTGCCCTGACAAGCCGCATTTTAGCGATTGCATGTATGTTGCATCACGCATCATTTCATGGCATTACCGCCCACCTTTGATCACAAACAGAGGGGTTCCAACTTTGATCTTGTATGAAACAGCACAAAGAGGACAAATAAGAAATACTCAATATACTTAAGTATTTTACAAAATAATACACATTGCTTTCCTCAAAGGACAGTCCGTCTATTCTGTGTCATCCCAAAAGAAAAAAAATGGAAGGTCGTTTTCTGAAAATGTTCTGTAATAGCTAGTCATCAGGAGTCCATTATGGAGCATGAAACCATTCCCTCATAAAGTAAAAGGGTTCTTCAGAAGGGGGGAAATAAAGAAACAACCCTCGGCTCAGTCTGCAGCGCTGCAACATCCATCTGTTCTCATGAGGACAGAAAATTTCCTTGTCTCCTTCAACCTCAATCTGGCCACAAATCACAGGGGAAATGATGTGTCAAAGTCTGGAGGCGATTGGACGGCTCGGCGTGGGCGTAGCGGGGCGCTGAACCTCCACTAGCTCGAGTGCGAGACTCACGACTCCTCTCCTCGTTCGCTCATCCATCAGGGCGATCATGAGTTGGCCTGTTGAGCTGTTTGACAGAGAGGCTGAAAGGCTTGACATCGAGGAAGGAGTACAGTAGGGGAGTTGGGGAGCACCAGCCAAAATGGGCACCATTAACACCAGCAGTGAGGCAGCAGCACGGCTATAAAATTTCAACATTAAAGCTTTCGGTCAGCACTGAAACATTTTGCATGAGGAATATGACTCTGTATGCAGCTGCAATGACCTTGTTTGCGACCATCAAATCAGACAATGATGGTCATTAACTGCAGTGCCACTTATGGTTGTAGCTAGAGGATGTTTCATTTAACACATCCCTACCGAAAGCTTTGGGGCTATTTTTA